CGTGGCCCTGGTTCAGGAAAGCGCGCTCCTGGATTAGGCCTGGGTATTCACAGAAAAGTGCAGAAGCTAACAAGTAGGGATAGTGGGAGGGTATTGGGAGGAGGGCAGGAAGTGTAAATTTTCATAAATTAATAAAAAAAATTAAAAAAAGAAACAATTGAATTATGAAACAGTCCCACATTAAAGGAGCAAGAAACTCATCAAAGCTGTATTACTGAGTATCACCTTTAAATTTAAATAATTAAGTATTTTTCCCAATAGCATGTTAAGATTGATTCTCAAATGAGGATCTTTAATTTTCTGTCCTTTCTTTCATTAGAAAATTTTGACAAACTGATAACCTTTACTCTAGATTATTGGGTAGAATTCCCAACCTCTGTCTCTGGTGGCTCCATGATGTCTCTCTCCTACTCCACCTTTCGTCCTCCCAGCATACAGCCTACCTTTTCCTCTCTAGTTCTGTTCTTCCCTGTCATAGAGTCAAAGTAGTTCCTTATTCATTGACCAGTAAAACCAACACACAGACAGTGTTCTAAACCACAAAAGGAGCCAAAAACAGTTTCCTAGTTCTGTCTTTCATGAGAACCATGGTATAGAAATGCCATGACATTTGGTCTTGAGCGTAGAATGGTGGACTTTCTCTGTTGTACACAGAGGCATCTCCAAGCCACACAGGGTGCTGTGTGTCAGATTTTGCTTTTACTCATACAGTCAAAAAATGTCTATGGACTGGCTGCATGCTACCCGTCGGCAGCATTGGGAAGGTAAAGAAGAGATACCTCTGCCAAGTTGCCAAGTTGTACGGACCAAAGTCAAGAGCCAAAGCCACCACTTTGGTCTTAGTCCTAGAAATTAAAAACCATGAACAGAAAACATTACAGATGCAGAATAAATACAGATTCAGACATGACTAAACCTCTATAAGGGTCACAGTGTGTTAAAAAATATGAAAGCTTGCAGGGAAATGAGTGTAGTTATTTATAGAAAGATTAAGTAATTTTTAAAAATTAACAAAGTCTTAAATGAAGATGTTAAAGTAATATAAAATAAAAATCTATGTAAAGATCAGAAGAACACAGGAAGTTGTTTCCTGTATAGCATTATGTTGATTTTGAAATTTTTGGTGGCTGAAAAGCAAACAACAGCTACTGAGAGACATTGGATTGAGCAAAATGAATTGTCTTCTAAAGAAAAAAGAGAGATATGATATAGAAATATACTTTGATCCAAAAAAATAATTGTTGATCTCAATATATATTTTACATTAGTATGGTTTTAGTATATTAATACAGATTAAAGGTAAATTTTGTTATACTATATGCATTCTTCTACCTTTGCTTAAGCTGTTATGTTCATGCATCTCATTTAAAAATGTAATATGTAGTCAAAAATACAAATTAATTGTTATTAATAATATTCACATTTATAGTCATGTTAGGGTTTCTAGATAAGCAGAGATATATTTCTGATGGAAATGTAATTTTCAAACACTTTAAAGATGTACAGAATATGGCATTTGCAATGTTATAAGAGCTTAGACTTTTCTTGAAAATGAGACACATCTGCTCCTGGCAACACCAATTACTTCAAGAGGAAATAGGCATCAAAGAAACTTATTACAAAATTTTCTTTCAATGTGCCAAGATTAGCCATTTGGGCAAGAATGTCTTTTTGCCTGGACTGCTTTACAGTATGCTATATGACCTGGAAATGCAGGATGCACAGTAAAATGACTGCTGAACATTGTCAAAACAAGAAAGGATGATCCATCAGTGTTCCTGCTTCACAGAAGAAACTTGTGGACATTCTGCAGGGCACAAAGACTGGATGGTGATAATTATAGTTTTCCTTAGGTATGATGAACGATAAATCAGATATGAAACTTTAGGCTCAAAAAGGTAGGATGGATAAGAGAGTATTTTATTTAATACTGTCAAATTCATATATAATAAATATTATAACTGTAATGCTGTTTGATATTTGTTTTGTTATATGTAGTTTTACAATGTAAAAGTTAAAACCTTCCTTTTTAATTAGACAGAAAAAGGGAAATGATGTAGGATGTCCTTCTGCAAATGTGTTGATTTTAGTAGTTGTTGAAACAAGCTACTTTGGTTTATGGCAGGGCAGAATATAGCGAGGTAGGATTCCAACCAAAGTTACAAGCAGGCAAACTTGAAAGAGATGCCAGTAGCTGCTCTAAAAGCAAGGATCCAGAGCATCACCAGTAAGCCATGGGCCACATGGTGATACACAGATAAATAGAAATGAGTTCGTTAAAATAATGAGTTAGCCATCAATAAGCCTGAACTATCAGCTAAACAATTGTAATTAATCTTAATCCTATAACTGATTATTTTATAAGCACTGTGAGACTAGGAAGGATGCAGAAAGTCTTTGAATACATAGTCCATTTGTTATCTTTTGATTGGAGGAAAATTAAAGCAAAAAATATTTTCAGACGATGGTAAAACATAATTTTGCTGTGTATCTGTAAGTTTAACTTTATCTCATCCACAGGGAAGGTGACTTTGACTTTCAGTTTATGCAAAAATTCTTATCATTCAATTGGTTCTCTGTGGTAAAACACCTCTTGAGCTACTCCAATAACTTAAATTTATTTATACATTTAAATATAATTTATAAAAAATATTTTAATAGTTTTTTTCTAATGTATTTGTCCAAGTAAGCAACAGAAGAATATTTTTATCAACTATCTTTGGTTTAAAGTCTTCTTGATCACTGTTGGGCAAAAAGTAGCTGCATTATTTATAGGCTACAATATCCTATAGTCATCACTACCCAGCTAGGGCAAGTATTTCTACTTGTTTCAGAGAATGGTTAGTTTTGAATTGGCAAATATACAGACCATTGGTTAAAAAGATGGCAAAAAAGAAAAGATGAAGGAATAGTACTTACTTTTTTCCATTACTCCAGGGCTAGATTTGGAGGGATTAAAAACTTAAAAGAACTATTTTCTGCTCCCTATGTTCATTCTGTTTTGACAGCAGGGTTTCCTGGATGAGATTCCTGACCCTTTCCTGCCTCCACACAGGGATCAACACTGGCCTGGACCCTGAGGAGGACTGGAGATGAACAAAGTGAGTACTCCAGAGTGGAAACAAGAAGTCATTTGAATTTCTCTGAACAACCTGTCAGAGCAATAAGGATTCGAAACCCAGCAACAGAATACAGATCTACAGCAAGGGAAAGTTTGGGTGCTGTGTGGAGGCTGTCACAAAAGAGAAACTGCCAACATATAAAGAAAACATACCTGACAGAAATAAAGAGAAAGACACACAGAAACACACACAAACACAGAGAAACACACAGTAAAGACAAACATGTGGGGCCACTAAACATTTAAACACTTGAATAGAGAGAAGAATTCAGTAACATCTTATATCACATCTAATTCTACCTCAATGGCTGTGTCCAACCTCTCCTCTATGTCCAAACAAAATATACCTTAAAAAGATCCACCTCCTGAGGTAAAAGACAAGGCAACTTTAAATTTTGTTTCCTTTTGCGTTGGAGGTTTTAAATTCTTCATAAATTGATAGAGTAACTAATCAAAGGGAGCCCTGGAGCCCTGGAACTTCAGACTGTGCCCAGTAGGAGCCCTGTGACAACCACACATTTCCCCGTGCTGAGAGCCTCTGAGAT